CATAGGTCTATGGTCAAGAATTAAACAAAGACACAGATAGGAAGGACTTAGCAGATAGTATGTGCTCAGTAAAATGACAGCCTAGAAAGTGGAGGGCTCCAGAACCCCCAAGGCCTTGGTACCACCACTCACCAAGGGTCCATTCCTTCATTCCTGCCTATAGAGGACCTCACTCTTTTTCTCCCTCCTATGTGTCCTCAGCTGAAAACTACACCCAGAACTTCTACTTGGACCTGAGACAGAAAAGAGACTTCAGTAATTACCCGGGTGTCCTCTACCGCCTCCTGGGAAATAAGAAGCTGCTGTTCGAGGACGTCAAGGCCAACGTTACGGAGATGTTGGCAGGGGGTGTGGACACGGTGAGGTGACTGTAGGGACACACTTCCTGTGCCCCCATGTCCCTTCCCCACCAGTTTACCTCATCTGAAACCCTGCCCATGTGGGGTAGATCTCCTTCTCCTGACTCCATTTCCTAAATACTCATTTCCTAGGAGGCTGAGGCTAAGTCAGTTGCCCATGGACCTTCCCTCGAGGCTGATCCAACGTTTGTTTTTAACCTATGAGAAGGGATGGGTAGGCATAGGTGGCGAGCCCAGGTCCTGCATGGAGTCTTTAAAGGAGAAGTCCTTTAGTCACAGGTGGGGGACACAACTCATTGGATTCAGAAAGGCAGGCAGGACCTCAGAAAAGCTGGGAGACAATGGCATTTGCCTTGGGCTCTGCCTTCCAGGGTCTTTCTGTTGTGTTCCATCCTCCCCAGTGGTGCCCCTGATGCCTGAAGGCATCTTTTGTGGTATCTTCTCAGGCCCTCTCAGGCAGCACAATACCCCAGAAAGTTATCTTTTTGAACTCAAAACCTGTCTTCCTGTGTGCCATTCCCTTCTCTAATATCTTAACACTTTCTCATGCTAATGTGATAGAGAGGGTTAAATACTCAGTGTTGATTGGTTGTTAGCTATGATTCAGGCACTGAGACCATAAAGATGAACACAACAGACCCCAAATATTTCAAATGGCTCAGAGAGGAGGAATGCATTTGTTTGCCGGGGCTGTCACATAAAGTCCCACACACAGGGTGGCCTAAACAGCAGACATGCATTGTTCTCACAGTCCTGGAGCTAGAAATCCAAGATCAAGGTGTCAGCAGGGCTGGTGCCCCTCTTCTCCCTTATGTCTTCACACAGCCCTCCCTCTGGTATGTCTGCATCCTGATCTCTTCTCATAGGGACCCCGGTCCTATTAGATTGGGGTCTACCCAGTGACCCCATTTTACCTTATCTTTAAGCAACTTGCTTCCAAATACAGTCCCATTGTGAGGTACTGGGGTTAGCACCTCAACATATAAATTTGGGGGTGCACAGTTCAGCTCGTGACCAGGAGACAGCATGTGCACAGATGATCACATGCCACGTGATGCGGCTTGTTGAGTAGGCGTGGACTGGTACCGACAATACTGAGACGAAGCCCCAGGAGGGAGAGAACACTCCATAGAGGAGCTAAAATTCAACTTGTGTCTTGAAGTATGTGTCAAAGTCCCCTGGGTGAATAAGGCTATTTCCTAGGTATCTTATTTATATTGTGCTCTAAAGAGGACGTTCAGTCAGTGTGACAAGCAGCAGATGGAGCCTTTGAGTTTATTTTAAACCTAGTTCTTGTCAAGTTATTTAGAAGGGATCGCCAAAAACTGCTCACCTGAGCCCGTGCAGCTACTGCTGTTAGGTAATGCTCACCGAGCATGCAGCGGGCAGTGCTTCGCTGCTCACGGTATTACTTCATTTAGCGTCCACAGACAAAACTATGAGGTATATTACTATTATCTCCCCCTTCAGATAAGAAAATTGGGGCACAGAGAGGTTAAGTAACTTAGTTAAGGTCACACAGCTAGTAACTTAATTGACCACCTTAATAAACAAGTATTTCCTGAGTAGCCACACCATCTGGCCTTGGACATAGTGAGACAAATGCACGGATTTCATTCAAGCCTTGAAGGAGTACAGACTGGCTTCCTAAGCTGGGATGGGAAGTCTAGGAAGAGGAAAGAGCCAGAGGAAGACTTCTGGGCTTCAGGAGCTGCGTGTAGCAGCTAGAGCGCATGTGTGAGAGAGGTGGTGGTGAGGCTGGGGACAGTGGGCAGGTGTTGGGGGGCCCTGTACTTGATCTGGGGGATCTGGGGAGTCAGGCAAGGATTTCAAACTGGGAAGTGGCTGGATGGCACATTTTCGTGACTGATCCTGTCGGGAGGAAGAAGGAGAGTGTTCCAAGCTCTTGGACAAAAATGTGATTCTTGGTAAGTATGTGCAACAGCCCATGCCCTAACCTTCGGAGGGAGGGCTGCACCAACCTGCCACAGAGGTGTGTGGGCTTGTGGGGCTTGAAGAAGGTTACTCATACCTCCAGGGAAGGGCTAAAGGGTCATGACTCCAGCTAATGATGAGATTAGCACGTTCACCTCAGTATACACCACATGGACAGGAGCCAGGGTGGTGGTTCTGGTTTCATTTTCTGAGCCTTCTTTCCCACTTTGCTGCTATAGGCACATGCTAAGGTTTAGGGAAGTTCTTCAGGGGAGGGGGTTGCTTGTTTAACCAGTATTTCAAAAGGAATGACATTCAGTCAAGGGATAACGTTACAGAAGGGGCTTTGGCCTCCAGAGGGCTCTGGGGTCCTTTGGAAGAAGGCATTGGTTGTGTGGATGCCCTCTACTGTTTGGGGAGCTGGTGGGCTCTGGTGACATGAAGAACAAGGGTAGGGACAAGTGCTGCCCCAAACATTCCTGCCTGGGCTGGAGGAAGCCTCTGGGACATTTGCCTTTTGAATTGGACTTTGCTTTTGTAGATGATAGTCTCTGGATACTGGGATGAGGCTGGGGAGAGGTTCTTGGAAATGAAAATTTAGCCTGGGTCTAGGTGTCTCAGGAGTGACAGGCCCTCCTGGTCTTCTGCGCCCCCATCCTCCCTGCCAGACGTCCATGACACTGCAGTGGCACCTGTATGAGATGGCGCGCAGCCTGCGGATGCAGGAGATGCTGCGGGAGGAGGTTCTGGCTGCCCGGCGCCAGGCTGGGGAAGACATGAGCAGGATGCTGCAGTTGGTCCCTATTCTAAAAGCTAGCATCAAGGAGACACTGAGGCAAGCCCACACCCACCCTTGCCTGCTCGGGCTCCCAGTCCTGGGCAGGGCCAGCATGGTGCCTGGGGACAGGGTTACAAAGATGGACCGGTGGTGATTGGTAGCAGGATTCGAGAAGTCTGGGGGGACAGCTGGGACTGGGAGGAGAGAACAGAGTCCTGGTCCTGCCTCCAGACTCTTTCGGGATGCTGACACTGGGCCTGAGATGCCATGCTGGGTGGGGGGTTTGTCCTAGCCTCAGGGCATTAGCTTCTGAATGCCTTCCTCTGGCAGACTCCACCCCATCTCCGTGACCCTGCAGAGATACCTTGCAAATGACTTGGTTCTTCAAAATTACATGATTCCTGCCAAGGTAGGTACAGCAGGGCCGCAGGCCCTGCCAGTCAGACAGAATTTGGGGGCTGACTGCAGTTGCATACAGATGGGGGCTTCTGTCTGTCTTCTTGGAGCTGGCTGGTGGGTCCTTGGCAACCTCATGAGCTACCTGGGTCTTGGGGGGGGGTGCTTTGGTGCTGACAAAAGGGCAGGACAATCCCTTGGGCCATCCCTGGCCTACTGGCTTCACTCATGCCCCTTTGATGGGCGAAGTTCAGGGAGGGATGGTGTCTTGTTCAAGGCCACACAGTGGGCAGTGTCTGCTGGACAGCTGGGCAGCCGGGCTGGGGAATGGGAGCGGGGAAGCTGGGCTATGCTCCTGGCTATGAGGAGGTGAGGCCTACTTAAGGCCTCTGCTCACCTGGTCCCCAGACATTGGTGCAGGTGGCCGTCTATGCCATGGGCCAAGACCCCACCTTCTTCCTCAATCCGGAAAAATTTGACCCCACCCGATGGCTGGATAAAAACAAGGACCTCATCCACTTCCGGAACCTGGGCTTTGGTTGGGGCATTCGGCAGTGTGTGGGCCGACGGATCGCTGAGCTTGAGATGACCCTCTTCCTCATCCATGTGAGTCTGGCCAGGGGACCTCTGAGCACCCTGGGTTGGCTTTGGCCTTAATGAAAGTTCAGTCCTCCTACTCCCATCTCTGTTCAGAGCCCACCCCACAATTTCTGCTGCCTCATCTTTTGGGCTCATCCACTTGTCACCCATTGGTCTGTCCCCCCCCCCCCCCTAGTGGTGATGGGATGGGCATGGGCTGGGATAAGGTTTTGTAGAAACTAAAGTAAAAGCCTGAATCAAGGGGACAGCACTAGTGGTGTGTTTTCAGGCATCGAGCAGGATTAAGTAGGAGCTGGTGTGGACTTCTTTGAGCTCCCAAATCACATTCACAGGCACTGCCTGCAGGTGAATGGGCCTGGCCCAGGGGAGATGGATCCTTCCCACCTGTCCCCTGAGCCCACCACTCTTTCTCAGATTCTGGAGAATTTCAGAGTTGAAATCCAACATCTTAATGACGTGGGTACCACATTCAACCTCATTCTGATGCCCGACCAGCCCATCTTCTTCACCTTCCGGCCCTTCACCCAGAACCCGCCCAAAGCATGAACTGAGAGAGTGGTGTGAAAGGAGAGCCCAAGGGACAGGCGGGGCCCAACGGGGTGTCATCAGTCTCAGCCGCTGGTCCCCACTCCTGCTCCTTTCTGCCCCAGCTCAGTGGAGGTACTCCTCTTCCCCCACCTCTTCCCCCAGCCCATGAAGGCAATAAAGGTCTGAACTGTGTGAAGTGTTTTCATTTCCGTCTGGCCCCTAAAGTATCCATCATTCCTGTGGAGACGCTCTCTGACCTGGATCAACAGTTGGATCTGAGCACAAATGGGCAGCCATACCTGGAGCCATTTCTGCAGGGATGCACCCACCTGCAGCAGCTCAGGAGCCAGCAGGATCAAGCCTCCTGCTGCCTGGGGCCAGGGTGAGGCAGAGCAGATGGAGGGCTATTGCTCCTGTGCTAGGGCCAGCAGGCAGAGGGACTGAGGACCTGGCAGAGCTCTGCTGAGAGAACAAAGCAACCCGGGAGGTGTAGGCCAGCCTTGACTTCCAGGGCAAGCTCACCTATCAGAGGTGTGGCTTGCACAGTGACTGTACTGCTTGGCTGAACTTTGGGTAGGAGCTCCAGGTGGGTCATGAGGACTTTCTGCCAAGGTCCAGCCAGAGTCTTGGGCACGGCCAGGGTTGAGGCCTGTGGGTGAGGGCTGGTATGAGGTGGCTGAGGCTGGGGATGAACGGCCAGTGTGTTTTCTTTGCCCCACCTGACCCTTCTCTGGGCTTCCCCAGGCCTCACCTTCCTGCTCCAGGGGGACATGCCCACTTGTCCCTGGGCAGTAGGCAAGGAGATTACAGCAGAGTCTTTGGTCCATTATTTGAACTGCCTGACACTGGTCCCAATTTTGGCCCTCTTCACCCTCCTCTGAGTTCCATACTCCCGACCTGAAACAGGTGCCTGATCCTTCCTGTCTCTCCAACCAGCCACGTCTAAGCCCTGCTGGCAGACAGAGGAGCTAGTCCTGCTTAGGACAGCAGCCAGTTAGTTTGAAGTCCTCTACCAGGATTTGCAGGTTCTGAATCCACTGTTGGAGCCTTTCTGCTTTTCCCCATCACAATCCTCTTCCTTTTCTTTCTCTTTCCTTCCTTTCTTTTCTCCTGTCGAGTCATCTTTGACTCAGAAATGTTAGAGCTGGAAAGGGCCTTACCATCAGAGAGGTCAAGCTCTGCATGGGATAGATGGGGAAACCGAAGCCTGGAGAGGTTGCTCGAGTCACCCAAGATCATACAGCATGCTCATAGCTAGAACCCAGGTCTCCTCTCTGTGCAGGACTCCTTCCTTTAGTCCCATCTGCTTTCCTGTCTCTGGCTACATTGATGGGGTGTTTTACACTAACATGTAACTGATTGCCACAGGCAGGCTTCAAGTTTTTCCATTCCCAAGAGACAGATAAACCAAACTTGAAAGAAGGAATTTTAGTTATGGTAGATGTTTGGGGGGCAGGTAGAAAGTCCCAGCCTCCCTCACATCTTCCAACAGAGCTGGCCTCTGGCGGTCTCGCTTCTTCCAGAGGTCTGGAAGGAGCTTGTCTCCTTGGTTCTTGCTTTGGAAGGACTTTTCTCCCCTCCCTCCTGGGTCCACTATGGCCTTTGGCTCTCTAGAGATGGGAGGCAGGAGTCTGTTGGGCTGCAGCAGAGGGCCCAGGCCCAGAACGGGGTCTGGGAAGAGGAAGCTGGGCACTCCGAGGCTGCCCTGCTCCAGGAAAGAGGCAAATACTCACTGACTTACAGCATTTAATAGTCATTTTTAGGGGGTGGGGACAAAATACCCCAGCACACAATGAGGGAGCTGCTCCAGTACCCAGGTCTGCTGGGACTCACACCTGTTGGAACTCAGATCTGCTGGAGTTTGAGGGCTTGATGACTTCAGTCTCTGAGCTGGGCATCAAGGGGTCCAGATTTGAGGGTTGCTTATAGTCCTTGGTGTGCGTTGAGGGATTCTGTGTTGTGCAAAGCAAGATGAGGTGAGTTTGCCCTTGTCCTGAGTGGTAGGAGGCCCATTCAAATGCATCTTGCCTAACAAGTCATGTCTTAGAGGGCCATTATTTCTGCAAGATGTCCAAACCCATTCAACCACAGTAGGTCGTATCCAATTTCTCCAAGAGTCCCCAGGGCCCAGCAGGTGAATTTTCTGTCAGTGCCCCCGTCTGTTTCAGACCTGGTCAGGGCTTGGAACTGAGCTGAGTACTGATGGCTCTAGAGCAGGAGCAATCAGGGGTTTTGCTTTGGGGGCTGGGTGGCCTAGGCTGAGCTTGAGGGACAGTTGTGAGCAGGTCTATTTGTTTTTAGGAAACTGGCCATGTTTCTCTCTGGCAACCTGCTCCCATCCTTGGCAGTTCTGCAGCACTGCAACTGCTCAAGAAGGGCATGCTCAAGGGACAGTCTTAGGCACTATGGAGTTGGGTGGCAGCCACATGAGCAAATCCAGTCCTACAGTACAGCCAGCACCAGAACATTTGAGGAGTGCACGAGTGGACGACACTTCAGCCACAGCCATCTCCCTTTTGATTCTCAACAGCACCATGGGGGATGGGTAGTGCTGGCAGGGTTTTCTATTCCCCTTAGACAGGTGAAGAGTTGAGACAAGGCAAGGGCTTCTGCTGGCAATGGAATAGAAGCTGAGCCTAGGTCCTCTGAATTCCAGCCAGGGAGCTGGCCCTCTGGACAGATTTTCTCAGGCCCAGTGACTCGAGGTAGAAGTTGCCAGCCCCACCACCTGAGCCACAGAGAGCTCTTCCAGAGGGACTACTCACGGGCAGGTCTGTGTTGTTGGAGTTTGAGGGGTGGCCCAAGTCGTCCTCTTGCTCCTGCAGCTGTGTGGCCAAGTCCTGCTTCTTTCGTCCCCAGCGTTGAGCTAAGTCCTCTAACTACCACCATGGAGAAGGACAGATGGGGAACCTCTAGGTAGCAGAGCCCATTCTTGAGACCTGAGACAACCTGATCTTGAGTCTACTCTCTGGGCAGAAAGCAAAACTCTGGGCAATGTGAGCTTGCTACTTTCCCAAGACACCTCACGGTGGCAGAGCTGGGTGGAGAGGGGCCAAGTGATAGTCTGACTAAGACACAGATTGATCTTCTTTAAGTTCCAACATCATACTGAGCCCTGACCCTGAGTTCACACTGATCCTTGACTGTAGTCATAGACTGAGCCCTGATCCTGCTCACACACGGAGCCCCGACCCTGCTCACACGCTGAGCCCCGACCCTGCTCGCACGCTGAGCCCCGACCCTGCTCACACGGAGCCCCGACCCTGCTCGCACGCTGAGCCCCGACCCTGCTCACACGCGGAGCCCCGACCCTGCTCGCACGCTGAGCCCCGACCCTGCTCGCACGCTGAGCCCCGACCCTGCTCACACGGAGCCCCGACCCTGCTCGCATGCTGAGCCCCGACCCTGCTCACACGCGGAGCCCCGACCTTGCTCGCACGCTGAGCCCCGACCCTGCTCGCACGCTGAGCCCCGACCCTGCTCACACGGAGCCCCGACCCTGCTCACACGGAGCCCCGACCCTGCTCACACGGAGCCCCGACCCTGCTCACACGCTGAGCCCCGACCCTGCTCACACGCTGAGCCCCGACCCTGCTCACACGGAGCCCCGACTCTGCTCACATGGAGCCCCGACCCTGCTCACACGCTGAGCCCCGACCCTGCTCACACGGAGCCCCGACCCTGCTCACACGGAGCCCCGACCCTGCTCGCATGCTGAGCCCCGACCCTGCTCGCACGGAGCCCCGACCCTGCTCGCACATGGAGCCCCGACCCTGCTCACACGCTGAGCCCCGACCCTGCTCACACGGAGCCCCGACCCTGCTCGCACGCTGAGCCCCGACCCTGCTCACACGGAGCCCCGACCCTGCTCGCATGCTGAGCCCCGACCCTGCTCACACGGAGCCCCGACCCTGCTCGCACACGGAGCTCCGACCCTGCTCACATGCTGAGCCCCGACCCTGCTCGCATGCTGAGCCCCGACCCTGGTTATGGGCCAAGTGGTGAGCCTGCCCAGTCTGACCAACCTCTTTGCCTTACCTACCTGGCTTTCCAGAGACAGGATCCGGCTCTGAGCCTGTTCCAGCTTAGCTAGGAGGTTAATCTTGTCTGAAGTGTTGGCAAGAAGATCCTGTGGGCAAAGCAGAAACTCACACATGGGCCCAGCTGGGGACTGTGGCAGCGTGAGCTCAGGAGGCCAGGAGATGCTAATGGAGGAACCAAATGGGTTTGAGTTCCAAACAGCTCTGATGTAGAGCCTCAGACCCAGGGCTGAAGTCTCTTCCTGAAGTTCAGACCTGGCATGGCATGTTCTTTTTTTCACAGCTGTTCTCCCCACAGATTTTGGATATATATTTTTTGCACATCAATTTTATTATCATTATTATTTTTAAAATTCTCACCTGAAGATATGTATTTTATTGATTTGAGAGAGAGAGAGAGAGAGATAATCAATCGAATGCCTCCTTTACAAGCCCTGACTGGGGATCGAACCTGCAATCTAGGTATGTGCCCTGACTGGGAATTGAACCCATTACTTTTTGGTGCACAGAATGATGCCCCAACCGAGTCACCCGACCAGGGCTGCACATCAATTTTTAAATGTAAAATGCATAAGGGCGCGCCACTTGGTGCATACAAAGGGATCTTGAACTGGGCGTCTTTTTGTGGTGAGGAATCTGTTTGTGAAGCACGCACTCCCTGTCCCCGGCCCTTACCTGGATGTCCATGCATTAGGTGTGCTTTCAAACAGAACTCACCTCCTCTGAGTCCTGGGAGGAAGACAAAAACTCTCTTGTGCCCTGGGCCATCTCTCTTCTGTAATTCAAAGGTCCTGTCTTTGGGTTTGCATAAAGCAGGGCATCTATAGCAGCCTTAGAAGTGGGGTGGGGTGAGGGCATATCTGGGTGCTGGGCACAAAACCTGTGTGGGCAAGGTTTCTATGCACTTGGAGTGACCTGGGCCATCTGTCTCGTGAAGCCTCTCTGCCAGGTCTCATGCTCCCAACTCCCCACGGTCCATCTGGGATAGGGGAAAAGGGCTCTCCAAGGTTGTACCGGTCCCAGGAAATGCTTCAGACTGGAGTTTCTGAGAGGTCTGTGTGGAGTCCAAAAGCAGGCTTACCACGTGGCAAAAGGAGTCAGGGGTCACGGCCATTTAGGGGCTTCAATTCTCCCATGATGCTAGATAAGGGTTGAGGGGAAACTTTCAGACAATGTATGTTCCCCTAGGAGAAGGAGCAAGGCCCGAGGCTGCCACTCAATGTGCCGAGGCAGGCACATTGGAGACCCTGGGAAGCTCGTTCCTGGTCTTGATCTTTAACTTGGACTGTGTTGACTGATGGCCGGCCACCTGACTGACCTGTGCGGCAGAGCCAGGCCTCGCCTGTGCTAGTGGTTCTTACCGGCAGGGCCTGCTGCTGCAGAATGATGGGGGCCGACTGGTGGTGGCTCTTATCCAGCTCTGCTCGCAGCCTCGAGTTTTCTGCCAGCAGCACTGAGTAAAGGTCAAAAGGCAGGTTCTCTCCTGTAGGACCCTGGGGAAGTCCAGAGGCTGAGAGCTTGGGGAAGGCTGTGAAATGGCCACAGGTGTTCATGAGATGGGCTATCCTGTCTCCATGTCCCCGGTCTGATCTGCTGCAGCATTTTGCTCCATTTTGCCCTCCCTGTGCTCCCAACACTGCCAGTGGGATTCACACTCCTCAGGCCATTATTGTCAACTCTTCAGAATCTGATCCCACCTCTCGCTCAAACCACTCCCCTGCCATTTGCCCTGGGTCTACAGCAGCTCTTCACCCCTGTCTTTCCTCCACTTCTCTGCTCTTGGCATGGTCACTTCCTGGGCCTTTGCCCTGGCTGATTCTCCTCCTGAAGCTGCCTTCTTGTTTCTCATCCCAGTCTTGGGTGACCTCAGGGTTCCTGAAAGGTGAGCGCTACTTTCATTGTTTACTAGGCTTTCAGAAATCCCTGCCCCCCAACCGGGTGCCACCAGCCCCAGGCAGTAAAGGCTGAGTGCTGGCTAGGCACACAGGGGTCTCTGGTGAGGCTGCATAGACAGGCTCAGGGAAACTCACTTGGGCTGGCCTGATAGGGTGTGAACTGGTTCTCTCCTGCTCACCAGCGCCACCTCTGAATGGCAGTTCTAGGTGGCTTTGATTAACATCAATGGATAAAACAAACCATTGATTTAACCAAAGTATTTTTGTCTGTTTTATAGAAACAGACTCTTTGAAAATAAGGGAGATGAGGAAATAATTAGAAAGGTCCTGGAGTTAAGAAATGGGAAACTTCCTTGGTGGCCCCTCTCTGCTCGCTCTGGTCTGCAGGGCTTCTCCCCACCTCTTTTTAGCCTGGCTTATTCACTGTGTCCTGACGTATCCTGTGGGCTCCCTGGGAGGAGAAGGGAGCACAGGACCTATGAATAGGGGTGCCCCCATCTGCTACAATTGGAAGGTGCTCCTGGAACTGGGAAGCTCTGGGAAGGGAGGGACCCCAGAGACTGGATGACATCCGGGGGAGCAGCCTCACCCATGCTGGGCTTTCCCTGTAGATTGTTGGGTAGGGTCTCATTCCTCTCCTGAAGCTTGTCCTTTAGCATCCGCTCCATCTTCTCAATCACCTGGGGAGCAGAGTGCAGAGGCTGGTCTGGTCTGGGAGCTCCACACAGTCCCTCTGAGGCTGGACCCTGGTGGTCTGACCCCCGGCCCTGCCTTCTCCTGGTGCTTCACAGTCTCCTCCAGCGCCTGCATCTTCCGCAGCTTGTCCTGGAGCTGCTTCAGTAGTGCAGCCTGTGGCTGCTGAGCCTGGTACAGGAGAAGCAGCTCCTTCTCTCGATCATTCTTCTGATGGTGTGGGTGGGGGAAGGAAAAGGAGGGAAGAAGGGGTGCCTGGGTGTTACCCTTGGCCTAGAGGGCTCAACCCAGGCCCCTCTGCTGAATCCTCCACTGCGCTGGTCCCCCTCTCTCTAGGCTCTTCTCCCTTCTGCTCCCAGACACTTCTCCGCAGACTCCCACCCTAGCTCCCCGTGCTCTCTACCCCCAAACCCCAGCTCACTTGAATCAGCTCGTTCTGCAGATGCTGCACCTTGTCTCTCAGTTTCTTCATGTCAAGCTTACTCAGCAGCAGTTTCTGCTTCATGGACACTGGTGGTGGTGGTGGGAGGGGAGAGATGGCTCAGGCAGGAGGCATCTTCCAGCTCATATCAGCACAGCTTGGGGGTGAGGTCAGGTGTCCCTCAGCCCTGGGGCTTGAGACAGGACTGTATTCCCTGCTTCCCACTACAGAGAGGGCCCAGATGGCTCCTATCAGCCTGTGTCCAGTAACACGCACACCTGGGAAAGGTTCCCTGCCACCCTGTCCCACCCTTCAGAGCCAAGGCTCAGGCTGGCACCCGGAATCCCTTGGTGGCCTTTATGCCCTCACCCAGCTTCTGGGTCTTATCGGCATTGTCCTGTTCCTCTTCCATCTCCTCCTGGGTCAGGTGGCTCCTCAGGGCGTGGTTCTCTGCCCTCAGGACAATGGCTTGTTTCCGCAGCAACAGGATGTCCTCAGCCATCGTCTGTATGGCTCGTTGGTAGCTCTTTATCTCCTGTGGATCCCAGTGCTCAGAGTTGGGCCTCCAGCCCACATCTGTACCCACACTTGGGAGTCAGTGGGTCAACCCCAAGGCCAATGAACAGGGTACTCTCAAGTCTTAGCGACCCCTCAGAGGGGTGGTTAGTTATGACTTGGCCTGCGCCTCCCTTGGCCATGTGAGAAGTCATGCTCCAGTTCTGTCCCAGGGGTCATGTCCTTTCCTGTGATGCCAACTATGGGTCCTTAGAGCTCAGACACAAGATGAGGAAGATCGTGAGTGACGGAGACTTGAAAGGACCTAAAGCCAAGTTCCCAGGACTAGTTTCCTGGTTTCTCCCTGCTCCTTTACCCTTTTCTAGTTCCTCTCCTTTTTCATGTCAATGAGAACACAGAGGAAAACCTCTCAGAAACCCCCAACAAAAGCCACAGAGGAACTGACTCCAGGCAACATCCCCTAATCAGCCCAGGGCTCAGGAAGGGACTTTAAGTAAGCCTGGGAGACCTAAATAAGGACTAAGGATTGGGAGCCAGCTCCGAGGTCTGGGGTGTGAGGTGGGGCCAGGATGCCAGGCTCTATCATTAGGTTAAGAGTAACAAAGATCACCCCACTAGTGTGGCTCAGTGGCTGAGCATCGACCCATGCACCAAGAGGTTGCTGGTTTGATTCCTAGTCAGGGCACATGCCCAGGTTGCGGGCCCAATCCCCAGTGGGGGGCATGCAGGAGGCGGCCAATTGATGTTTTCTCTCATCGATGTTTCCACCTCTCTCTCCCTCTCACTTCCTCTCTCTCTAAAATCAATAATAATAATAATAATAAGAGTAACAAAAATCTTAATATCTGGTGTTCATTGAGCTTTATTATGTTCCAGGTTTGAAGGAGGGCCTCCCTCATTTAATTGTCATGGCAAGCCTATGAAGGTTGGTACTATTATCATCCTTATTTTACTGACAAGAGAAACAAGGCCCAGAGGGGCGAGGAACTTGCTCAGTCACAAAACTGAGCCAAGGTCTGAAACCCACACCTGCTGGCGCTTGAGTCTGTGTTCTTAACTGCTGTGCAGTCTGCCATGATGCACCCTACAGAGAAACATCACAATATGTTGAGAAGTGATACAGCAGGCTACTAAAAGAAGTATCAGCATGATCTCAATCTGGGGAAAATATTTATGTCTGACCTATGTATACATTGGAGAATTAATAAGCTATATTTATATATGTTCATTTCATAATTAGAAATTCCTTCTTGTTATTTAGAAAAGGTTTTGTAAAGGGAGTTTCTTAAATCTAAACAGCACAAGATATCACAGAGACCCAAAACATGAAGCCAGAAAGGTCCATAGAAGGGGAGGAAGTGAGTGTTTGGTTGGGGGAAAAGTGGGTGAAGTCAGCAGGAGTTTGCTAAGCCCTGGTTGCTTGGTCTCCCAGAGGCTTTGGAGGACTTGCACATGGGGGTGGGCCTCCTAGAACATCTAGGGTCTCAAGTCCCCTGGAAGCAAAGCTCTGCCCCCAGCTTCTACCTAGGCCTCGTACTGACTAGGGATGTGGCCCAGCTTCTAGCCACTGCCACCAACTAGCTGCAGGGTGGGCCACTGGCTTCTTGGGGAGGGGCTCCGGGACAGCAGGGTTTCATCAGATACCACTTGTCACCTGCCACTGCCTAGCCTTCTGGCTGGACTCCCTCTAACCAGTGCCAGTGCCAGGCATCTGCCCCAGTCAAGTTCCAGGTCTTGGCTCCTCCAGATCTACCCATCTGGTGTTCTCAGACAGCCCTGTTAAGTAGAAGCCAGCCCAGAGACCACAGGGCTTTGTGGTCAGGCCCCCGGCAGAGCTCAGCTTGGCCAGTGACTCACTGAGTGAGCACAGACAGGCCCTTTCTGTTCTGTGTCTCGAATTTCTCATACAAGATAAACACTGGTGCTTCAGAGCTCAGTCAGTGTGTGTGTGGCGGCTGGCACAGGGCCTTGCCAGGGTGGGTATGACCGGAGGTATCCATTCCCATTCCACCCCATTTCTGTTCAGCAGCTGCTTTATCAGAAGGTCAGACCCCTTCCTCTTTTTCCTGGCTACCTTACTCAAAAGTTTGGAGAACTGCTTGCATACTGGATACTATTAAATTTGAACATATGCAGAGCCTATGATCTAGCAATTATACTCCTGACTATATACCAAAAAAAAAAATGCAAGTGTAAATGCATCTAGAAGCAGGGGTAAGAGTATTGCTACCAGCCTTATTTGTAATAACCCCAGACTGGACATGACACAAATGCCCATCACAGTAGAATGGTGAGCTAGTCATACAGTGGAATACTGCAATCTCTCAGACTCAGGGCAAAACAAAGTCGAACACAAATACCTACTCTATGACGCATGTAGATTTGGCTCAAAAATAGACAAACTAAAGCAATAAAGTTAGAAGTCAGGGTTTGAGATCCATTTAGAGAAGTGATTAGGAGGCACCAGAGAGCTTTGGGGGTGCTGGCAATGTGTACCTCTTGATCTTCACCGAGCATTTACTATGGACTTTGTGATAATTCAACACAGTGAATACACTTACATTTTGTGCATTTGTCTGAATGTGTGCTGTGCTTTATATAAACAACTTAAAAACATTTAACAATTTAAAAAATAAATAAAATCCTGGCTCAAATTTGGTAAAGTACATGAAGCCTCCATAAGGCAACCCTCCTTTGGGGACCCTCTCAACTCTCAGCAACAAGGGCTCTTCTCAGCTCAGAGCTGTGAGTGCTTCTGTGGGCCCCATGCTAAGGCGGTCGTAGGGGCCTGCACTCTGTGAGGCCTCTCCCAGTCTGATCCTGTGCGGCTGGGCGGAATCAGTGATGCCTCCTCTCAGGGCCTCCTGAGAATGAGTAGGCATACATACTGACCCTTGTCAAGGGCTGGCGTGATGCCTCGGAACATCCTGAGACTCACATTGGCTCAGTGACGCGAGGTCACACCGCTGCAAACATGCGGCTGACACTGGAAACTAGACTCTGCTCTAGAACCTGTGCTCTTTGTGTCTACTCGATTGAGGAAGGCTTGGGCCTCACCCAGAGAGGAGAAGAATGGCTTGACTTTGACTCGACCTGTCTACAGAAATTAAAAGGCACTAATGGAGAAGGTGGCCAGCAGAGGTAACAACGTCTATCTGATGTCCTGAGCTTCATTCTGCCTTTTGTCCCCAAGGCTAAGACTGCCTTGGGATAGAGGTGGAAGAAGGAGTTCCCCTGTCTGCTCCTCAAGGAGCCAAATGTGCCCAGGCCTCCCTGTGTTGGAAGAGGTGGGCATGTCGCTCATCTCACTGTCCCCACCCGCAACTGGCCCAGCACAGCGTGCAAACAGCAGATTTGAATAAGTTAGCCTGATCCCATTGCTGGTTCACCAGCTTCTTCTGGGATCTGTCCAAAGTAGGGGTTGGGGAGAGGAGCCCCAGGCAAGGAAGAACCCTGATGGATGCTGCAGTTAGGGCACCTTAGTCTATGTGTGTGCGGGGAGAGGGCTGGGATCTCTATGGCTGTGGTTCAGAGCGAGCTCCTGAGGTTTGGGTCAGATGCAAAGTCTGAGGCCTGGCATACAAAGTCTCTTACAAGCTTTCTCCTCATGCACTCTAACTCCACAGTCTTGTTCCTCCTTCATACTTCCATTCCTGCATTCCTACAACCTAACCTGTCCTTTCATAGTCCACCCAGAAATATATTTTTTTCTTTATTGTTTTTTTTTTTTTTTTTGAGAGAGAGAGGAAAGGAGAGGGAGAGAGATAGAAACATCGATGAGAGAGAACATCGATTGGCCGCCTCCTGCATGCCCCACACTGGGGATTTGGCCTACAACCTGGGCATGTGCCCTGACTGGGAATCAAACTGATGACTTCTTGGTGCAGGGTCGATGCTCAACCACTGAGCCACACTGGCCAGGTGACCCAGAAATTTTAATCGCATGAGGACTGATAGTGTGAGTGTGATGGGGTGTGTGAATGTGTGTGCATGTATGCATATATGCATGGAGGGCGTACCGGGGAAGGGGTGCCAGCCCCTCTGCCCAGCCCATAAATCTGATCACCTGCCTTCCCATTCAGGGCTCATCTTTTCAAGGACCCCATTGTTCTTCATCCCAACAGTCCCAGGAGTGAACAAAACTCTGTTCTTAACATCAGCCCTTAACAGACAAAGGCAGCTGAGGCCCAGATGAAGTGGGTGTCCTCTCCTCAGTCAGATGGCCCCTGCTGGAGGAAGGGTCATGACATCTTTAGGACTCCACCCCTTGGAGAGGAGCTCTGTAGACCTTCCCCAGGCCCCTGTGCCCCTCTCAGCCTGGCTGCTTTCTGGGTGAGATCTCCCCAGTAATATGGCAAGGGACCTGCTTCTAGATTTTCCTTCTCAGTCTCTACCCTGGCCACTATCCTCTGTCCATGGGACCCAGAGAGGTAGCAGCCTGGTGGGCCCACCCTCCTTCCTCAGTTTTGCCCACCCTCACACTGAGCGGCAACCTTGGGCAGCACAGCTGCGCTGAGAGGCTGCAACCTGACTTATCCAAGCAGCCTGGGCTGGCTCCCCACTCAGGGCCATACTCTGCGTCATAGTCCAGCCTTGAGAACACACAGGACACCATGTCTCAGATTTCCTGTTATGGTCCTGCGCTTTGCCTGCTCCCGTCTTTCCCCAGTTCCCAGGCTGTTTGGGCTGGCTATCCTCTAGGGGCACTGACTCCACTTGTGCCTGATCCTGAGTGCCCACAAGGACCCAGCTCTCAGCAGTGTGCTCAAGGTCACAACAATGAGTTATTAAGCCTCGGCTAGAAGCAGATCAGCAAACACCTAGTCAATCACACTTGCTGAGCACCACTGTGTGCCAGGTCTGTGCCAAGTTGGGGCCACGAAGCACAGAGGAGCCCATACTGTCTCTGCCTAGAGTAGTCTCACCTCTACACTGAGGAGATGGCAAGAAGTGCCCGTAACAGAGGGGAGTCAGAGGAGGCTCTTAACTCATACTGGAGTTCAGGAAGGTTTCCTAGAG